GAACACATCGATACCAAGCGAGTTATACATAAAAATATAGCTGATTCAAAGCCTGATAACATGCAAAAGAAATTATTCCGCTAGCTGTAATGGATATCGTGCGATCGTATTTTGAAAACAAATAGGGGTTTTCCAAAGATTTGTTTGCGCGTAAAAATCGGCTCGCCGGCTTTTGACAAATCGTCTTTTCTCTGCAAATACTTCATCAATATTGTTAAAAAATGCATGTAAGTAAAGAATAAAGCCAGTTCTTTCAAGATATCTTATTTTTATTGACATACATTCACAATGAGTATTTTATTCTCTACATCAAAATCATGTCATTTCATCAAATTTCATGAATATTTCCGGACTGTGGTAACGCAAAACGGGTTTCATTGGGATACCTACTCTTAACATATTCCTACATTTTCAATAAAAAGAAATTATAATCGGTAACGCATATTTAGGTGTGGTGTGATGTCAAAAAGTGCATTGGCAGTCTGTAATGAACAGAAGCAACTACTGAATTTCCTGCAATTTTTTTTTGCTGGGAATTGTTCTTCTTGTCTATACCACAGTATAATTAAAAAGAAAATACAAATTGTGTTCACATCTAAAAATCGGGAAAATTACGATGCATAACAAACAAAAATAATAAGATTGAACTGAAGCGCCTACCAGTGGCATCCCAAGACCGAACCATTGTGTGCCCGGTGAAGCTTATTATAATAGTATTTAAACATGTTTATTATAACGGTTAATACACATGTTTAAATGTGGTAATGTTTAGGCATGTGTATTTATAGTTATAATACAAAATGAATACCCTGCTGCAAAATGGACGGTTCTAAATCGCCCACGACTCAAGCAAATGGGCTTCTCGTTTGTTCGTGACGTTGTGCACTGGCCGTGAGAGCGAGTAATCAGCTGTAGTTGATCGTATGCAACGAAGATACAGAATATCAGTTCAAATCAATTTAGCATTTGATTTTAATACATGACAAGTTATTCTCTGTTCCAACTGCCAACTAAATATTCATCGCTCAATTCGGAGGCCCTATAAAATAGAGATTTACAACTCTCTGACCCTAGATTGAAATACATCAGCTGTAAGCTGTAGAATAGCCCCTGGATAGCCGGGAATGTGAGTAAACATTGCTGTTGTACGCCACACGATCATAATATAAATAGAATAGGCTAGAAAGAATCGTATTCTTATATTTATTTAGGCCAGCATAAACACCAATACACCATGTCATTTTCAATACATATATGTATATTGAATATGACCAAAATTACCATCTTTGTTTTTTGAGAACTAATAAAATATTGATGCATCTTTCTGGCTAGTATTCTCCAAGTCACGGTTTTACGTTCGCGAAATTTGTGAAAAAAGTAAAGTAAATCCACAGACGTACAGCTACTTTCTTTTTTCATTATGGTCGGATTTTGGTTTAAAAAATTTTATGTTTTAAATAATAACATTAAATTCAGAAATTGTGTATACTTTCTGAAATTTGACCATGAGTGGAGCAGTACTGGCTGAACTGTGTCCGATTTTCTCCTACTAACAAGGTCTTGTTTACTCATTGTGAACGCTGTTTAGGCAGCATGCAGGCAATTAGCAATCAATCATCCTACCCACCAGTGACCGTTTCTTCTAAGGGGAAGAATTTTGTCATGAAGCTCAATCATAGGCTTATAACATACAAAAGATAACATAAAAAAAGAGTACTCTGCTAGCTTTATGGTCATAAACGATCCTGTTTTGAATAGAGCAATGTGGTATTTCTAAAAGTTTGTTTCTGCGTAAGATTCTGTTCTCCAGCTTTTACAGGTCATTCTTAAATATAGTTTAAAGGGCATATAATTGAAGACTATAAAGCCAATTCTTTCAATATATTTTATATTTTGTGATGAAAATTTACAATAAATAATATATATAATACTATGTATTTTTTACATCAAACTTGTGTCACTTCGTCAGATTTCACAAACAGTTTCAGAGCGTGGTAACTCAAAACTGGCTTCATTGGGATATGCAGAGTGTAAGCAAAGATATGGAGACAATTATTTCGAAGTTCCCTCTTGCCAAGAGGGGATGCAAATGCTTTGTGAAAATGAGTACGCTGCGGTACTCATTTTCATAAAGGAATACACGTAGCTGGTTGGCTTACAATATGGAAATGTTCCATGAACGCCTGGGAAGGAAGGTGCAATCACGTTCTGTTGCCTAGCAAACGTCTGTAGCATGGGGGGGGGGCTTACTGATGTACTGTGTATAGCGGGGACGATGAGGCATAGTAAGACTAGGCCTAGGCCTAAGTAGACAGTGCAATTATATGTGATAGAAAGTACCCTTTCGAAAGAAATAAATTAAAGTTAGAAAAAAATTAACTCAGTTGCAGACGTACCTTGTTCTATATTGTTTTATATTCTAACTATGCGGCTCTTGTAGCCCTAGCTATTGCAAGGCATTCATGTGTAAAGCAGTGGTGTTATTTATCCATCCCCACACATTCAAGGGGAAGTACATGTAGTTTAATATATATTTAAGGCCCTATAAAAAATATTAGTTTATCAACCCTATCTAATCTTGAAAATTATATGGGAGGGAGGCCTTTTTTTATTTTTTTTATTTATTTATTTCGAAAATCATCCAACAGCGGAAGCCAATTACAGGATGTCTTATAATACATATAAATATATAGAAAAATACAAACAAGCGAAAGATAAAGAGAAATTTACAAATATATTGCGAGAAATTACATCAAAATTACAAATTGATTAATAAAATTACAGTATGAAATGAAATAGAGAAATTTACAAGAAAATTGCACAAAATTACATCTTAAGCTAAAAATTGCAAGTTCAAAAAAATCCAGATAAGAAAATAAACAAAAAAATGCAAAACAAGTAAATGATTGATAAAATTACATTAGAAAATAGGAATAGGTAAAATTTTTTATAAAAATATTGCGAATGACATCTTAAGCTAAGAGTTGTGAAAAAAATAAAATAAAAGAATAAAAAATTAAAAATTAAAAAAAATAAAAAAATAAATAAAAATAAAAAAATAAATAAGCAGACATACAAAAGGAGACAAAACACAGATCCAACACAAGCACATAGACAAGACAAAAAAAAAATCGAAAACAAAGCAGACAAAACACAAGTCACTTAGGTATTATGGAGTAAAGATTGCGATAAGCTGTTTTTGAATGAACTAAGACTCTGGTGAAAAATATCGATCAACGTAAAATTATGAGAAAGTTTATTAAATGAGAGGGCAAGACGATGAATAAAACCATTTTTAGTGCAATTTTATATTTTTCTAAAGCCAAATATCACCCTTGGGTGGTTTGCTGGTGCATTGACATTCAAAGTAAAACATGATTGAGATAACAATACCTAACTATTTACTAAAAAATTAAAAGAATAATAATTTTTTTTTTTAAATCTAATTTTTTTTAATATCATGCAAGACATGCACACAAGGATAAGGACTAATTAGTTTTTTATTGTGCCTAATTATTACTTTTACTGTTATTAATTTTTTTAGACAGCCATACAGTGCCCTGAAGAAACAGATGCTATGATATTGCTCCAAAGTTTATTGGACGGTAATCCACAATTGGGGACAAGTGTTGAAGATATAGGGGAGGTGATGGGTTCTGTGTTTGATGCTGAACTAGATGCAAGTGAGTCATCCCCTGGGATACAGACATCAGACGTATTGGTGAGGGATATTGAGTCTAATTCCAAATCAGATGAAGGGAATCCACAATTGGATACAAGTGTTGAAGCAGAAGAGGTGATGAGTCCTGTATTTGGTGCTGAACTAGACACAAGTGAGTCATCCCCTGGAATACAGACGTCAGAAGTATTGGTGAGAGATATTGAGTCTAATTCCAAATCAGATGAAGGTAATCCACAATTGGAGACAAGTGTTGAAGATCTAGGAGAGGTGATGGGTTCTGTATTTGGTGCTGAACTAGATGCATGTGAGTCATCCCTTGTAATACAGAAAACAGCAATGCCTGCATCTGATGTAAATCACCTGATGGATCGTGTGTCTGATGTGGCCTTTCATGTAATGGAGATACAGACATCAGAAGTATTGGTAAGAGATATTGAGTCTAATTCCAAATCAAATGAAGGTGTTTCACAATTGGAGACAAATGTTAAAGATCTAGGAAAGATAATGTTTGCATCTGATATAAATCACCTGATGGATCAAGTGTCTGATGTACCCTTTCATGAAATGGGAATACAGACAGCATCAGAAGTACCAGAAAGAGATATTGTGTCTGATTCTGAATCGGATGTAAGTGAGGTCTTCCCTGTTATTCCGACAACAAGAGCAACATGTGATGAGGAGCAGATAGAAAGCCTGATAGAAGGTACAGAAGAGGACACCAGTAAATACACAGTTGACAACACTGGTGAAGACACAAGTGTAGACACAGAGGAGTGTAAACAGAAACCGTACAAGAAACCTTATAGATACTGTATATTTTGTTGGAAAATGATGTCCAAGTTATCACAGCACATAGCTCTTGTACATAAAGACAACATACGTGTGCAAAAAGCATTAAAGCTTCCAAAAGCAGAAAAGGCTGATGCATTTGACGTGTTCAAAAAAGAAGGAATTACAGATTTCAATAAACAGCAAGCCAGAATGGATTTACCAAGATATGAAAGGGAGAGGGTTGCTTCTTCATCAAAACAGGCTGGGGCATTGGTACAGTGTGGGACGTGCAAAGCATTTTTATCAAAGAAATATTTAAGAAGGCACATAAAGCAGGTGTGTCAGCCAAAATCAGAAGCCGTAGCTTGTGCTGTTTCTTTGCCTGCAAGTTTGTTGGCTCTTAATAATGATAATTGGGATGAATTTGTACAGAACATTTTATCAAAATTCAGAACTAATGACGAAGCTGGGAAAATGTGTGTCAAAGATAAAGTGTTGATGAACATTGGAAAAAGGCTATGGTCGAAACAAAAGAGGAAAGTGGATAAGGCAGTTGAGGTAAGGAAATCTGTCATGGCAGATATGCGTCGACTAGCATCACTCCATATAGCCTTCAGGAAAACTGAAGAGTCTCTTGGAGAACTCCCAGTGAAGACAGGTAATGTGTCTGATCTTCTACAAAGGACAAATTTTAGACACTTAGAAGAGGCTGTGAATGACTATACAAAGTCCGAGTTGGGCATAAAGGCAGGTTTAAAGCAGGGATTATTTTATTTACTGAAATCTGCCAGCAAAATTGTAAAGGCAACTTACCTGATGGAAGACAAAGATGTTCTTGCTGATGAGGTAGATAAATTTGTGGCTGTTTTAGATTTAAACAAAAATATAATGTTTGGCGATGCCACATACACCCTTAACAAACAAAGAGAAGAGAAATTAAGAAGGCCAAGTGCACAGCCAGAGGAAGAAGACATTAAGAAACTAAAACACCACATCATTAAAAGAATGTATGACATAGTCACAAACGATTTTGAATTCTTTGACATCCATAAGTTTGTTGAATTACGAGATTGTGTTGTAGCAAGGTTAACGTTATTTAATGCAAGACGGGGGGGTGAGCCCAGTCGACTCCTCATCAGTCACTGGACTGATGCAGAAAGAGGTGTGTGGTTAGATCAGCAGCAGGTGGACAGACTCGATCCATTAGACAAGGCATTGGCTAAAGAATTGAAGGTCGGTTACCAAACAGGGAAAGGGAAACATTTGGTACCAGTGCTCTTTCCTAAAGATGCACATATGCCTTTAAGAAAATTAATTGATCCAGATATTCGGTCAACTGCAGGAGTTTTAGAAGATAACAAATATCTGTTTCCCAGCACCAATGGCTCTATAAGCCATGTCTCTGGATGGCATTCCGTTCAGAATGTTTGTGATCGCCTCGATCTTCAAAATAAAGAGATGATTACAGCAACAAAAAATCGACACAGAGTTAGTGTGCTCTTCGCATTAATGGATGTGCCAGAGACTGAGAGGTCATACATTTACAAACATCTAGGGCATACGGCAGATACTAATGTGCACATCTACCAAGCCCCCTTGGCTGTCAAAGAAATCACTGTTGTGGGAAAGAGGCTTCAGACTATGGATACAGGTAAATTGTGGAATCTATTACTTTATTAAGTTATATTATTATACAGCATAACAAATACAACATAATTTTCATATCTTTCATATATAAACCTACCTAAGTTTCATAATAAGATATTTCTAATTGGTTTTTTTAGAGACATCAGATGTTTTTGCAAGTTCGTCATCATGTACCAGTGGTAAGTATATCCCAGTAGTATCCTGTATTTTATAATCACATGAAAATGTACTACAATCAAAATGCATGACTATATATTATGGTTATTGTCCATACTCTGTACAAGTCCATGTATGAGACATATGATAGTTAAATATTGTTTTGGGTTTATTTTAGATGAACAACTCGAACGTAGTTCCTCTTGCACCATAGAGTACCAACATTCTTCCTCAAACCCAGAAGCTAATACGGTACAAGGTTAGTATAAGTGTTGTTTGCTATTAAGTTTTTTCTAGATGTATTTTTTTAACCAAAATGTCTGTATTTTTAATCATGTTTACAGTTTCCATTAGTAAAAGCTAATATTTTTGATATTTTTTAAACATTTTTAATTGCACAACTTGAACCTATTTTGTCTTGCACTATAGTAGATTACCAGCATGCTGTCTCAAACCAGGGAGCTCCAGTAGTACAAGGTTAGTCATGAATGTTTTTTTCATCATGATGAATTAGTAAAATACATTAATTTGACCAAAATATTGTTAATACTTAACTTTATGATCATGTTTTCCTGAAAATTAATAAGTTATGGAAGTTGCTTTACAGTACAGTAGTTAAGAGGCTTGAGAAAAATAAATTTGTCATAGAAAATAATATAGTTTTTAAATTAATTATAATGATTTAAGCAGAATATTGAAGGCCAGTTTACATCAAGTCTAATTATTTTACCCAACTTTAAAATTCAGGTCGCAAGTATACAAAATGGAGTAAAGATGAAGAAAATTCTGTCTTGAAGTTCTTTTCAGCCTACATGCATGGGAAAGCTGAAAAGAGACTTCCAGGTATGAAATACTAAGAATCGGTTTGTCTAAATAATTAATTTGTGACCCGAAAGCCAAACTAAATTTTACAGTTGCGTGTACTGTACACTTTACAATTTTCTTTCTTGTTTTGCCTTCTGACAATTACGCTTTCCACAATTTTTTCTGTATAAGGCAGGATTATTTGTTAGGGTGGTGGCAACTTTATTTTCCACACGTTTATTTAGTTCTTATTGTCCCAATTACTCCTATGATTTGAGCTCTTATTGATTTGTTACTCTATACAGTATAGTATTGACAATATGCAATCACCCTGTTGTACACATACAGCAGTTTACAGTTGTTCATTTTTTTTATGTCTAATTTTTCACCATTTTCAGAAATTTCTATTTTATGTTTAGGGAGCCTCTCAAAATAAGTCGACGAGCATACCCGTGGACCACGCGTGATAAAGGGTTAAGAAACTTGATAATCTGGTCGCATCGCCAACGAGTGTTCGACGATACATAACAATTGTTGGGATTATTCCATTATGTTTAATAGGGGTCATATTACTTATTTACGTCGATGAAAACCTTTCTTGAAAAAAGCTTTTATACAACTCTTTCGAACTGACGAGCGTTCGAAAATAGATAACAATTGTTGATAGCATTCAAATGTTGAACAGGTTTATTGTTATAGTCTTTTTACTTATGGTTGCTCTGAAAAGGGCCGTTTGTTTTGAATATTTTCGGGGATTTTGATGACATCATCGTTGATACGAGGCGTACGTAAAACCGAGGGTTCGTATAACTGGGGTACATAAAAACGAGGTTCTACTGTACCTGTATATAACTTGCATTCTCCCTAAAAATTTGGCTAGTCATGAATCAGTGTCGATGACAAAATAACACAATTTTCACTGATGTTTACAATGACGGATTCACTAATTTCATTTTCCGTGAGAAACATAATAACAAATATAGCTACAGTTCTTTCTTTAAGGTGCATTCCAAAGTCCAGACCAAGTGATCAACAGAGATAGCTATTGAATCTATTGCTCACACCCATCCCACTGTTGTTTCCGTTGCATGGCACCACTAATTGCATCTGCTGTTTTGCTGTTATGTAAATATTCACGCATTCTTGTTATGAGCCATATTCTCTGGACGATTATCTTTTCTAACCACCATTCGTAATGTCCTTATATAACCTTTTTTTCTTCAAAAAGTGCCTCTTGAATTTTTAATTATTAAAATAATTTCCCATAAGAACCCCTCAATTTTCATCTATTTCCATAAACACCCCCTCAATTTCCACTCTGTTTTCATAAGCGCCCTGTTTAAATAAGCACCCTGTTTGTTTGAATAAGCGCCTCTCAGAAAGTGAAAAAAAATATTTTAAGCGCCCGGGCACTTATTCATGCGAGTACTAAAAGTCTATGTAGTTTCTCAATATAATTATAATTTCTTGTGAAAGTCATGACTTTCACAAGAGAGGGGCACTTATTCGCGCGAATACGGTATACCCTTGCGTATCTAAAATATTTGACATGGGGAACTGATGGGGGATACATATTTTTGAGTGCGGGATAGAGAATGAAGTAGGCCTAAACGGCAAACATAAGTGAAATGAGGTGATTTTTGTTAACTAATTTAGTGTAATCTCTGCTTAGTCAATTTCCAGTGTATAAATATTTCGAACACGACGGCCTTCGTGTGAGGACAACTGACAAGAAAAGAACAACAATTGTATTTCGAAATTTAAATAACAAGGGATACTGATTAAAGGCGATGCCATAAATAATTCGGAATAAACAACGATGATAATACGGGCCATTGATAAAGGCCTGAGAACCAAGAACAAAATCAACTATGAATAAATACTTTAGTATGATCCAAGTCTTTATTAAACCCCTAATGTCATATTGGTTCTAAATATCCATTTCAATAATTCTTTACGTCTATTGGAAAGGGATATAAAACTATTTTAGTGAGACTAAAATGACAAGTTATGGGAAAACCAGTGAAAATGTCAATGGATTTTATGATTATTTATGTATCGGAGGTGAAATTTACTACCGTACCGGTTTCTCCTGCACCAATTTTACATTTTTTGCGTCATAAACCTTAAAATTCTTCCTCTTCTTAATACTCTTAGGGTTTTTTTTTTAAAGATGCTAAGGCGAAACGGCGAGACAATTTATACCTTGTTTTTAGCGAATTTATTTTATAAAAAAAATTGACAGAATGTGGGACATTAAAACTACAAAATTAGGGTAAAATAATGCAAGTAATGTAATTTAAGTATTTTCAAATGTATTAATTAAACTAAACCAATTAAAAATGCTTGATAGACACTTATATGTGGCTAAATTTACATTTTATTTTCAAATTGCACGTGAAATTTACTACTGTAGTTGTTGATTATTGTTGCTATACATGACCTATTTAGTGGACTTGGAACGTCCTGCTCGATGCAGCAGAGAATGAGGTACACTGCATGCTGGTACCATGTTTTCATTGATGTGATGAAGTGTTTTTATAACTACAGTAAAGAGAAATAATTATATATTTTATGCCCGCCTTTCAGTTTATAATGTAGGTGTGGTCCACGGACCCCTTATGAAAAGAGGGGTGGAAGAGTATATACAAAAAAACAAAAAAAAAAAACAAACTTGGAGAGCACTGTACTCTAAACCAGGGTAATTTTCAAAATTAAATTCTATGTACAAGACTCCTCCCTGTGTCTATGCAAACATCACCATAACCCAGCTCAGAATTCGCACATCACATCATATTTCCTCAGAATATTCTCTGGATCCACTCTGTGCACGAGGCTGGTAGAAGCATGGAGGTTATACCTCCATGATTGTAGTTTATGGATCTAGCTATTTAAAATATCTTAATTTCCACACTCGGATACTTGGACTGGAATGCTCATAACTGAATCAATAAACAGCATATCATTGATCGCCATACCAACGAAAGAGAATGATGAACATTCCTGTCTATATTAAAAAGGTTAACATAAATATAATACAAAAAAAGCAGATGAAACTGTACTTTATAATTTTTATAAACATAGGCGAAAAATCCTTTGCCTGCACTTGGCATCTTATTACCTACTTCTGTCTTTACTCCGCGGTGGATTTGTATTGGCGGCGTACAAAGACGTTGTGATTGACCTTTTTTGCCTGGCAGCCAGTTTTGTCAAAGTTCTTAAGTCAAGACGAACATGAGTGAATTATGTCATGCAACTGGTTTAGAAACCAGTTTAGTAAAGTTCCCATATTGTCAAAGAACAAAATGTGCACCATCAAAACCAAATGGGCACCATCCTTTATGAGAGTCACATCAACTTATCAGTACTGTACGTCAGCACAGCGGCTAGCGGGGTACGCTGCAAATGATTGTCTCATCTGTCTATAGCAAAATGGAACATTCCAAGAAATAATCCTAACACGTCGCTGAGGACGGGTAATTACTGTACATGTCCAATCACTGCACGTGGTCCACAGGTATACGCGTCGACCTATTTTGAGAGGCCTCAATGAAATTGATTGATTGTGCTCAATTTATTTTGCAGGAAAAAAAGACATTCAGAGGTTTTTGCAGTGTGAACCACACTTTAGGCATGATATTCATACCATTCACACCAAGGTAATGAATGAAGTGTACAAACGTGAAAGGAGAGCCAAGGAGTTTGTTTAAGAGCATTTATTTCCTGTTAGACCATCCAATGGCAGTTGTTTGTTGTTGTTATTGTTACATTCTAAAAATTGATAATAGTAATAATAGTAAAATTTACGAATTAAATGAGACTTGCATGTAAGTTGAAAATTTGATGACAATTCTATTCCTCCCATCCTCTGGATAGTAGTGGTTACATGCTCGCCCTTTTGTGGTTTGTTTCACCCATCCCTATTTTGTGTTAGGATCGACAGTTAAATTAAATTTAATAGTAAATAGTAATCTATTTAATTCTCTAAACATTCCAATCATTGAACTATGATCAGTGTTCCTGAACTGGTATTTGAAAATGATCGTCAGTATGCATGCAAAGTCTCATTTAATTCTTAAATTCTATTCCTCCCCCCTGTGGAGGCAATGGCTCCATGAGATGTTCAAAGCCAGTGTTCTTGCACTCAAAATAAACACCCAAATGTACAATGAGCAGTGGTTTTAATACCAACACACACGGTATAAAATTAATTTGTGCTTTTGGAAACCAGGACAGGTTTGTTTTAAAACATCTCCAAATCTAATTCTAACACATTCATTTGTAAATGATATATTCCGAATGTCAATCAAGTGCAAAGCTTGAACTCTTTGTGCAGCTAATAGTGCCAATAGCATAACTGTTTTTAAAGTCATTTGTTTTAGCGAACAAGTGATATTATTCATGCTCCTTAAATGTTCAAGTACTATTTGTGGATCACAAGTGACATTGTTTTTTTGCAAAAACTAGTCTCAGCTGGAATACTCCTTTCACAAATCTCTTAATAATGTTGATTTGTCCAATTGGTTGTCCATTAAAGTAGATAAATGATGACAATGCAGACCTTATAGTGTTAATAGTACTGCAGCGGGCCCCTTTTTTGAACAGTTGTGCCATAAATTCTAGTATTTCACGCACATCTGATAGGGATCGACCTTTGCTTCAGTTGCAAATCTGAAACATTTTTCGATGCAAGTTGAATATTGCTTTTGTGTAGAATGTCGCCATGACAACATAAGAACATGGACAACCTCATTTGACAGTCCATGGTGACTGATTGCTTGCCTGTAATCTTGCAAGCTAGTACACTAAAGTCATTGTTGGTAGCTGCTGGACCGTCTTTTATGAAGAACAAAAACACAATCCATTAAACAATTAAAAGAACCATGGCTGGGTTGTCCAATAAGGGACAATCATCATTACTTGGGGTGTTTTATCCAATACAATTTTCTGAAGGATTCTTCCTATCAAGGAAGAAGGAGGAAAAATGTTGACATGACTTCCAGTTTTTTGAAAAAGCATTTACTGCTGATGCAAATGGATCTGTTTTCCAGGAGACATAATTGTCTATTTGTTTGTTAATCCTGGAAGCAAATAAATCCACCTGTCTTCCCCCACAGCTCACATAAATTTTCAAATATTGTATGATTCAATTCCCATTCTGTGTTTTCATGAGACATTCTACTGAGTTTATCAGCTTCAATATTGTGTTTGCCTTGTATATGGCTAAATGATAACCACAAATGCTTCTGGATGCATACTCCATATATTTTAGGAAATCACATCCAAATTGTGTATTTTTCCTCCTACTGTATGTTATTAATATATGTCAGCAGTTGTGTTGTCAATGCTTATTCTGATATGAACCATAGTATTGTTCTCACAAAACATTAATGTGTTCCTGGGACTCGGTCACTGACCAGAGACCACCAGTATTGGAATAATTTGACCACTAACGTTTTTCAATGTACCTCCCCAGCCTGAATTTGATGCACCACTAGTAAGGGAAATTGCGTGGGGGTTTATGATAACATTGTATTTTGCTGATGCAGTGTTTGTTATCCACCAAGATAATTCAAGTTTCATCTGTGGTGTAATTTCTCATTCACCTCAAGGTCCTTCAGGGTCTTGTTAAGGTCTGGCCCCTGTCTCTTATACACATCTAGATGTGTATAAGAGACAGGAATTGAACCCCTGGAAAAGAGGAGACCAATGTGCCAATGCATTCTGCTAACTTGAATGGTAGATCTATTTGTTTTGTTTAGGTCAGAGGTTAATTTGAGTGTTTTTTGCTTCTTACTCTCTGAAAGTGAGACCGACATGTCTGTCGAGTCCAGAACGAAACCAAGATATTCAATTTTTTATGTTGGTTCAAAACACGATTTTATGGGGTGGACTACAAATCGCTGGTTATCTGACAGGATTATAGATTTAACAACATTTATTCTACCCTGTCCAACAGTGATGGTTGCTAGGATTACTGGTTCAGATGTAATTAATTTCCATTGACTAAGTCAAGTAGAGACTCATCCTGCTCTGAAAAATTTGACTCTTCAATATGTTCCATACTAGGTTTCATTCACCTCAAGGTCCTTCAGGGTCTTGTTAAGGTCTGGCCCAAACAACTACGCACCATGCTCAATGTCTGCTGAAGGTGCACACAATTGCTGGTAGCTTTTGTTAAGATCTGGTCTTATTTACTCCCTTCTTTTTTGTGACAGGTTTTGAATCATTATGCCAGTCAAAACCATCCCATCAAGGGAAACTTGTAATAAATTATTGAACATGTCTGTGGTAAGGACAACTGTCCCATTGTTACTGCTAGCTGCCTTTTTTCTTTGTTCATAAATTTGTTCTAGGACCATCGCATTTGCTGCCATACCTGACACAAGCATTCCCTGCAATTTTCAATCCCGCAGCTGGGTGTCTTCTGAAAGCTTTCGCCATACCCCTGAATTAACTTTGGGAGCTGTCAAAGCATTTATGTTTTCAGGCCTAGGGTAAAGCTCTAGTCTTTTTTGCAACTTTTGCTCATTCAGTGATTTGTTCAGACTCTGTGATAGGAGGAATAGAATTGATATTAATTGTGGTAATAATAGTTACCATTATTATTAATGATAGTAACTATAGTGATGGTTATGGCGATTGTAGTTATTGACATAAGTTGTTATTGTTAACTAAATTGTGTTGGGCATAAGTGTGCTCTTGTTATGTTACTATTCATATTAAAGAAAAAAAAAACAAGCGATTTATAATAAAAGAAAAGTAAATCTTAAAGATGTATTGTCCCTTGCTAATGTAAAAAAATCATAAAAAATAAGTTTAAAATAAACTTGCTTATTTTGCAGTAACATACAAATTATTAACTTGTGCATGGAAGTTATTGAAATAAAAAAATGTCTACCCCAATTTTTAAACTAACAAATTATAATAAAAATAATAAATCACTTCTAGTGATTGGAAGTGTTTCTATCATTTTTCGCTGTAAACTTATGGGTAGACATTTTTAAAAACACTAATTTCTATGTTCAAGTTGATAACTTTTACGTTACTTCAAAATGCGCAAGTTAATTTCAGAAAATATTTTTATGATTTTTTTTTTATGGGACAATACATCTTTAATTTTAAGATGATAAAGAGTTCATTTTACCAGTTTATTCCCTGAATGTGTTCAATTTAATTGTAATCCAGTTGAAATATTTCAGAAACATTTCTTTTTGTATCTGCATTAATGTGATAATGTATTATGAATTAGTGAAAAGGAGAAAATAAAAAGAAAAAAATTCACTAAACTGGTAATTCATTGTCGCATTGTGATTTTGTCATTTTTTTAAAGACATTACTATGTAAAACCATTAAATCGAAAGTTTAGAAAATACATTGCTGTTTCTACTAAAAAAATATTTTAAATCGATAAATAATCGTACTTGTATTTATACAGGCACCACTTGTTAATTAGTTGTATTAATTAACTAGCAACTTTCAATCTCTTTTGAAAATCCTTTACATTGTAGTATAAATTGGCAACATTAATTAATTACAATTTTGCTTTAACTTAAATGCAGTACACATTCTACTGAGTTTATCAGCTTCAATATTGTTTAATTTTTCCTCCTATGTTATTAATATATGTCAGCAGTTGTTTGTTATCCACCAAGATAATTCAAGTTTCATCTGTGGTGTAATTTCCATCTGTGCTCTGAAATTACACTTAGAACACTTGAGTACTAAAACTTTTTGTCTTTCTTAGTTCCTGGAGTATGTGCCAATGCATTCTGCTAACTTGAATGGTAGATCAGGGAATGCTTGTGTCAGGTGCTTGCCTTGTATATGGCTAAATGATAACCACAAATGCTTCTGGATGCATACTCCATATATTTTTGGAAATCACATCCAAATTGTGTATTTTTCCTCCTATGTTATTAGTATATGTCAGCAGTTGTGTTGTCAATGCTTATTCTGATATGAGCCATAGTATTGTTCTCACAAAACGTTTTTATTGTAAACCAGGCAGCTCTAAAACATTAATGTGTTCCTGGGACTCGGTCACTGACCGAGACCACCAGTACTGAAAATAATTTGACCACTAACGTTTTTCAATGTACCGCCCCAGCCTGAATTTGATGCACCACTAGTAAGGGAAATTGCGTGGGGGTTTATGATAACATTGTATTTTGCTGATGCAGTGTTTGTTATCCACCAAGATAATTCAAGTTTCATCTGTGGTGTAATTTCCATCTGTGCTCTGAAATTACACTTAGAACACTTGAGTACTAAAATTTTTTGTCTTTCTAAGTTCCTGGAGTATGGTTGTCCGAATTGAACCCCTGGAAAAGAGGAGACCAATGTGCCAATGCATTCTGCTAACTTGAATGGTAGATCTATTTGTTTTGTTTAGGTCAGAGATTAAATTGAGTGTTTTTTGCTTCTTACTCTCTGAAAGTAAGACTGACATGTCTGTCGAGTCCAGAACGAAACCAAGATATTCAATTTTTTATGTTGGTTCAAAACACGATTTTATGGGGTGGACTACAAATCGCAGGCTAAAACACAATCCATTAAACAATGAAGAGAACCATGGCTGGGTTGTCCAATAAGGGACAATCATCATTACTTGGAGTGTTTTATCCAATACAATTTTCTGAAGGATTCTTCCTATCAAGGAAAAAGGAGGGAAAATGTTGACATGACTTCCAGTTTTTTGAAAAAGCATTTACTGCTGATGCAAATGGATCTGTTTTCCAGGAGACATAATTGTCTATTTGTTTGTTAATCCTGGAAGCAAATAAATCCACCTGTCTTCCCCCACAGCTCATATAAATTTTCAAATATTGTATGATTCAATTCCCATTCTGTGTTTTCATGAGACATTCTACTGAGTTTATCAGCTTCAATATTGTGTTTGCCTTGTATATGGCTAAATGATAACCACAAATGCTTCTGGATGCATACTCCATATATTTTAGGAAATCACATCCAAATTGTGTATTTTTCCTCCTACTGTATGTTATTAATATATGTCAGCAGTTGTGTTGTCAATGCTTATTCTGATATGAACCATAGTATTGTTCTCACAAAACATTAATGTGTTCCTGGGACTCGGTCACTGACCAGAGACCACCAGTATTGGAATAATTTGACCACTAACGTTTTTCAATGTACCTCCCGAGCCTGAATTTGATGCACCACTAGTAAGGGAAATTGCGTGGGGGTTTATGATAACATTGTATTTTGCTGATGCAGTGTCTGTTATCCACCAAGATAATTCAAGTTTCATCTGTGGTGTAATTTCCATCTGTGCTCTGAAATTACCCTTAGAACACTTGAGTACTAAAACTTTTTGTCTTTCTAAGTTCCTGGAGTGTGGTTTTCCGAATTGAACCCCTGGAAAAGAGGAGACCAATGTGCCAATGCATTCTGCTAACTTGAATGGTAGATCTATTTGTTTTGTTTAGGTCAGAGGTTAATTTGAGTGTTTTTTGCTTCTTACTCTCTGAAAGTGAGACCGACATATCTGTCGAGTCCAGAACGAAACCAAGATATTCAATTTTTTATGTTGGTACAAAACACGATTTTATGGGGTGGACTACAAATCGCTGGTTATCTGACAGGATTATAGATTTAACAACATTTATTCTACCCTGTCCAACAGTGATGGTTGCTAGGATTACTGGTTCAGATGTAATTAATTTCCATTGACTAAGTCAAGTAGAGACTCATCCTGCTCTGAAAAATTTGACTCTTCAATATGTTCCATACTAGGTTTCATTCACCTCAAGGTCCTTCAGGGTCTTGTTAAGGTCTGGCCCAAACAACTACGCACCATGCTCAATGTCTGCTGAAGGTGCACACAATTGCTGGTAGCTTTTGTTAAGATCTGGTCTTATTAACTCCCTTCTTTTTTGTGACAAGTTTTGAATCATTATGCCAGTCAAAACCATCCCATCAAGGGAAACTTGTAATAAATTATTGAACATGTCTGTGGTAAGGACAACTGTCCCATTGTTACTGCTAGCTGCCTTTTTTCTTTGTTCATAAATTTGTTCTAGGACCATCGCATTTGCTGCCATACCTGACACAAGCATTCCCTGCAATTTTCAATCCCGCAGCTGGGTGTCTTCTGAAAGCTTTCGCCATACCCCTGAATTAACTTTGGGAGCTGTCAAAGCATTTATGTTTTTAGGCCTAGGGTAAAGCTCTAGTCTTTTTTGCAACTTTTGCTCATTCAGTGATTTGTTCAGACTCTGTGATAGGAGGAATAGAATTGATATTAATTGTGGTAATAATAGTTACCATTATTATTAATGATAGTAACTATAGTGATGGGTATGACGATTGTAGTTATTGTTAACTAAATTGTGTGGTTATTGTTAACTAAATTGTGTTGGGCATAAGTGTGCTCTTGTTATGTTACTATTCATATTAAAGAAAAAAAACAAACAAGTGATTTATAATAGAAGAAAAGTAAAGCTTAAAGATGTATTGTCCCTTGCTAATGTAAAAAAATTATAAAAAAATAAGTTTAAAATAAACTTGCCCATTTTGCAGTAACATACAAATTATTAA